TCACACACACACACACACATATAGAGAGAACGTGCGTACACACACCACGCACAAATCACAGAACACAAAGAAGACACACGCACACACAACACTTACACCACGCAGAACACACACACACAGAACACACACACACACGCACACCACACATTCTTGTGTGGGCGGTCACAACCCCGCGCGCAGCGACGAGGCGGAGCAAGACACACGCACACACACACAGAGACACACACCACACACACACACACACACACACACACGCAACACACACACACAGCAACAACAAGGTACACCCCGGGACTGCGACCCGTCACCCCCGGTTCCTCTCCCGGGCTCCCCCCTTTCGCGCAACCCGGACCTGCCGCCCCGTGCGGACCACCCCCCCACCAATCAACCAACCAACCAGCTCTCGCTGCAACACAAAAAAAACTGTATATCACCTATGGGAAGAAGGAAGAGGAGGAGGAGGAAGGACGACGAGGAGGACGGAAGGAGGAGACGGAGGAAGGAGGAGGGGGAAGGAGAAGGAGTAAGGAGGAAGGAGGAGGAAGGATGAGGAGGACGGAGGAGGAGGAAGGAGGAGGACGAAGGGAGGAGACGGAGGAAGGAGGAGGAGGAAGGAAGAAGGAGGAGGAGGAAGGAGGAAGGAGGAAGGAGGAAGGAGGAAGGACGAGGAGGAAGGAGGAAGGACGAGGAGGAAGGAGGAAGGAGGAAGGAGGAAGGAGGAGGGGGAAGAAGGAGGAGGAAGGAAGAAGGAGAAAGGGAAGGAGGAAGAGGAAGGAGGAAGGAGGAAGGAGGAAGGAGAAAGGAGGAAGGAGGAGGAGGAAGGAGGAAGGAGGAAGGAGGAGGAGGAAGGAGGAAGGAGGAAGGAGGAAGGAGGAAGGAGGAGGAGGAAGGAGGAAGAAGGAGGAAGGAGGAGGAAGGAGGAAGGAGGAAGGAGGAGGAGGAAGGAGGAAGGAGGAGGGAGGAGAGGATTATCGGATCGAAAGTGGTCTGACCACCTCAGCTCAGGGCTTCTCGGAACCCAGCATTGCGAGGATCTCTCAGGCAGGAGTGGCATGACCACCTGCTCAGGGCATCTCGGAACCCAGAGTTGTGAGGATCTCAGGCGAAAGAGTCCGAGAGTCAGACGTCAGAGTTGCGAGAATGTCTCAGGCGACAGTGGCCTGACCACCTCAACTCTGGGCATATCGGAACCGAGACTTGCGAGGATGTCTGAGGCGAAAATGGCTGGACAACCATGGGGCAGGACATCTCCGAGATCAGAGTTGTGCGGATGTTTAAAGCGAAAGTGGTCTAACCACCTCAGCTCAGAGCGTCTCGGAACCCAGAGTTGCGAGGATGTCTGAAGCGAAAGTGGCCGGGCCACCATGAGGCAGGGCATCTCCGAGGTCAGAATTGTG